CTTTTTACCAGAACATTAGAAAACCAAGTGATCAATCTGGGAAATCAGTTAGCGCCTCGAGTGTTAGCTGTCGAATGAGTATATTTTGTAGCGCCAGATAAAAGCTAGCGGTGCTACTGTTATCGAAGAGTTTAAAAAAACATCTGGATTAAAATGGGTTCATGATCATATTATTCAAAAATCCGTTCTGGTTGGTTCCTAGAATTTTATTCTTAAAAAAATTTAGATTTCCAGATTTTTTTTTTAGATTTTGACGCTATGTTCCGAAAATTCCAGATTAACTAATTAAATGACTTTGAAGTCAGCTGTAATCTTAGCTGTAAATAAGTGGCCATTTGAAGGTTAATGTCATTTCGTTTTAACGCCTCTCAGCCTTTCAATGGCGATTTTCGCTGTTAGCATACGCGCACTTCTTCAATGGCCATCCAAATGAACCAATCGTGTCTAAGTTGGTATATTAATGTCATTGGATTAATGACAAAAATCTGGAAGAACTTTTAAATATGGAATAAAAATATTTATATAAAATAATCAGAGTTGTTAAAAGATACTTTTAAAATGGATCTTGATACAAATACATCGTCTAAAATAATATCAAGATACAGATATTTTAATCAAAAATCTTTCTAGATACAGATACCACATTTTTATATCTAGGTATCTAGATCCTTTAACAACTCTGAAAATAATGACAGTCCAATTGTACCTTTATTTTAAAATCATATTTTAAATTATTTAATTACCTTTTAAAATAATTTTTTATTGATTTTATAATTAAATTTCCAAAAAAACCGTTTTTTTAAACAAAATTTATATTATGTTGACATCCAACTTTTAAATCTCTTTTTTTTGAGCGATTTTTAAAAAAATTTAATATAAAATGACTCAAAGGTTATAGAGGTAAAAATTATCTACAATTCATAAGATGGAGGTACATTTCCGGTAAAAATCAAAAATTCAAATTTCAAAAAAAACGCGCCAAAAAAATCAATTTTAAAATATTTTAAAGTTTTTTTTTTGGAATAATTTTTGCCTTCCAACACTTTATTTCCTTCTTTTTTTTCTTTCTAATTTGTCGTCACGTGGGTTTTTCTAATTTCCGGTCATTTTTCCCGGTTTTTTTTACCGGAAGTTGGAGATTCCCGTGCCTGAAAACTCTCTTAATTAAAAAAAGTTAATAACCAAAGATAAAAAAAGTATCTATGGAATTAGGAATATAGAAAAATCTGTCCAAAAAAATATTCGAGTTTATTTTATTATAATGGTATTTAATTATAAATTTTATTTATAAAAAAAACGAATAATTTATCCACAAAAAAAATAAACTTATTATTATTATGATTCAAAACTTAAAGACAAGTCAGAATAATTTATATTTTCTAATTTGTTATAATAACTTCTTTAAAAAAAATATTGAAGTAAGAATATCCATATTAAATTATAAATTAACAGAAACATTTTATAATGTCCATTTTGGAGACACCCAAGGACAATAGAGAATATTTAGTTTTTAAAAAAAATATAGATTGGGAAGAATCAATCATGTGATTTAAAGGAATGGAAAACCCCCAGAATCAATCTTTGCTTCCTAAAAAGATTGATTTGCCCATATTTTAACAAGTTTTTAACTGCTAAAAATAGTATATTTTTTGTATATTATTATATTTATTTATAACTGAAAAGATATTAATAATTTATTTTTTTTTTATAATATAAAACAAAAAAAAATAAATAAATTTAATATTTTTGAGCCGAGTTGAAAAAAATCACGAATTGAATACTAAATAAAAAATATAAAAATTTAAGAGTTTATTTTTTTGAAGTTTGAATTACGTCTTCTATTTTTAATAAAATAAAATTGAACTTTAAAAATTGAAATTAGCAGTTCATTTGAATTAAATTCCCAACCCGAATCACTTTAAACCCCAAATAAACGGGAGGTTAACCACCAGAGGCCAGCCCCCTTACCCCCTTAAAAAACTGCGACCCTTATGTTTGGCTTCAAAATTTGTTAGCTCCTCAATCAAGCTTCAGTTTCCCCCTAGCCCTCAACTGACGTTTCTTAGCTACGGGCTTGCGAAGTCGGGCAATAATTGTTCATATATAGAAGTGTTATCTGAATAGCTTTTTAGAGGCTGATCCAAATTTTTGGATAATCAGCTGATTTTTCGCGGCTCCGATTCGCAGATAATAAGCCAATGAAAATTTTTTTAAAAAATATATATGTTGGGGAGTTTTGCCTTAAAATAATAATTAAACACCATGTTGTTTTTTTAGGGAGGAAAACAAAATGACGTAGCCATATTGATATATCGGATTGACCGATTCAACTATCCGATATTCGAAAATATGCGAATAATGGAGGTATTTCGATGTTTAAAAAACCGGCACATTCCTTATCGGTCATCTTTATCTTAGAACAGAGCTAAAAAATATGGTATCAGTTTATCTCCGTCTTAGAACCTTGCCTAGACCGATGCGAGCCCGGCAAAAAAATTCTGGGTTCGGTCAGGCTTCAGATCGTACTCCATTTTTTTTTTTAAAAAATAGGAAGGAAGTAATACTCGATTTGGATTGGTTCTGACAAGTTTTTCGCACGACGCTTGGCCAAAAAATTTATATTATTATCGCGTAATCAAGAAAAATTAAAAATGGTGGATTTCTTTTGGCGGATTTAAATAATTATTATAAATAAAACGCGATAAAATAAAGAAAGAAAATTACATATTTTTTTTTCTATTATATAAGACCCGAACCAAACATTCAAACATCAAAAGAAAATGGCAACAACAAAAAATTATTTAATGCAAAAACATCTTTATGTATTTTGTTTCTCTCTCATTAAAAAATGTTAGTACAATTTGTATAGGCAAAACTTTTAGCATTAATAATGGATATATGTATGCGTGTGTGAAGAAGAGAAGAGAAGAGAAGAGAAGAGAAGAGAAGAGAAGAGAAGAGAAGAGAAGAGAAGAGAAGAGAAGAGAAGAGAAGAGAAGAGAAGAGAAGAGAAGAGAAGAGAAGAGAAGAGAAGAGAAGAGAAGAGAAGAGAAGAGAAGAGAAGAGAAGAGAAGAGAAGAGAAGAGAAGAGAAGAGAAGAGAAGAGAAGAGAAGAGAAGAGAAGAGAAGAGAAGAGAAGAGGAGAAGAGAAGAGAAGAGAAGAGAAGAGAAGAGAAGAGAAGAGAAGAGAAGAGAAGAGAAGAGAAGAAGAAGAAGAGAAGAGAAGAGAAGAGAAGAGAAGAGAAGAAGAAGAAGAGGAGAGAAGAAGAAGAGAAGAGAAGAGAAGAGAAGAGAAGAGAAGAGAAGAGAAGAGAAGAGAGGAGAAGAGAAGAGAAGAGAAGAGAAGAGAAGAGAAGAGAAGAGAAGAGAAGAGAAGAGAAGAAGGAGAAGAGAAGAGAAGAAGAAGAGAAGAGAAGAGAAGAAGAAGAGAAGAGAAGAGAAGAGAAGAGGAGAAGAGAAGAGAAGAGAAGAGAAGAAGAAGAGAAGAAGAAGAGAAGAGAAGAGAAGAGAAGAGAAGAGAAGAGAAGAGAAGAGAAGAGAAGAGAAGAGAAGAGAAGAGAAGAGAAGAGAAGAGAAGAGAAGAGAAGAGAAGAGAAGAGAAGAGAAGAGAAGAGAAGAGAATGGATTTCATAATAATTTTCTAATATAAATAAGATATGCATTGTTTCTCCCATTCAGTCGAACAAATTTAAAAGGGAAAGTAGGAAAGAAGAATAATTAAAAATAATGTCAAAAATTATATTATTAGGTTTTAATTTGATTTATGGGTACTCTGAGAATAAGTGTCACATATGTTTTTTTTGTTAAAAAAATATAATATATTTAATAATTACAAAATTAATTTTAATAATATCTTTTTTAGTTGGTATATTAATAAGAGAAGTATATGTTCCCATGACCTAAAGATATTTGTGGGAAATGCCAACCCCCCTCCCCTTCAGGAACATTCTGGTACAAACTGTATTGTTTAAATAAATTGTATTTTTAATATTCCAAATTATTCAGCCATTTTTTTTATTTGACTACAACTCTAATTCATTTTCTTTGCTGTTTATCCCCAGAATCCCATTTTTAAAAATAGGGCAATAAGGGGTACCGAGAAATAAGATAGCAGAGATGTGGCCTCCCTGTAGCAACAAAAACTTCCTAAGGACTTGAGTATCCATTTTGAAGTTGGGTTCATTTTTAAAGAAAGAAAGAAAGAAAGAAAGAAAGAAAGAAAGAAAGAAAGAAAGAAAGAAAGAAAGAAAGGGGTGAGGGGGAAGAGGTGGGGTAGATACGTTTCCAAACATTCACATCTTGCCGGATCACAGGACATACATTTCGTTTTGGGGTATTGATAGTATCAATTGTATAAATATTAAAGTTTCACGAAAACGCAAAATTTCATAATAGGCGGTAAATCTAAACCTCTTCTCATGATTTTAAATTAATTTATCTAGTGAAGATTCCATTTTTCTAAGGATGATTAAAGTTTCCATTGTGCCATTTTTAAGCATTTATTAGCACAGAAACTTGTGGGTAGCAATAATATTAGCCGGGATTATAAATTGTATTTAAATGAGAACCGCGGAGTGTAAAAGCTTCCACCACCTTTTTGCGGCTAAATATTTATCTTGCTTAACGTAACTTATAATGGATTTCAAAAATTTTTCGTAATTCCAACTTAGTTCAGAGTAAAAAAAAACTAATAGATCTCTATGAACAAAACTCTAACAGGTCTTCTATTAACAGAACTCTAACATATCTTCTATGAACACTAACAGATCTTCTATGAACAAAACTCTAACAGATATTCCATTAACAGAACTCTAACAGATCTTCTATTAACAAAACTCTAACAGATTTTCTATGGCTGAAACCGTAATCATGATTAAAAAAAAAATTTTTAAATCATAATTATTGACTTTATAAACTTATTAATATATTTTTAATTTCGAAATTAAAAAAAAATAAGTGAATTAATTTGAATTTAAAATAAAATGCATTTTGTTACTCACCGTCCATTTTTATGCCGCAGGAACGTAGCATTTCTAGCGATTCGTTATCGAACGGATTTACGTTATTAACATGATTACGATGACAAATATGAATATTCTTATTACTTTTGAGAGATGATGATGAAGTTATGTAAACCGTAGTTGGTTTCTTAGAATTCTTAGGATTGTGTTGTCTTCCGACATTTAGATTAGGGGAATCGTAATTGTGGGTTATAAATATTTCGTTTTTAACTTCGTTAGGCGTAAGATCGGTTATTTCGATAAAGCAACACGCCTTGTAAGGAATTGATAGGGCGTGTTTAATGTATTTTACCAGCATTTTTTTTTAATCTCAAAAGTATTTATATGTTTTTTTAGAGGATTTAAGTAAAAAATTATTTCATAAAAAAAAATATAAGTTTTTAAATTTAGATTTTTAATTTTAGATTAATAAAAATAATATTATTATATTTTTATTATTTAATATTTTATTTTATATAAAAGAAATAATAATAATTCAGTTGTTTATTATTATATTTATTTTTTTAAAAGTTTTTAGACAGAAAAAATTATGACAAATTTATGAAAATTACAAAAATTTTGTTTCAATTTTTGCCAATCACACATACTTTTAATGGCGAAGAATGGGGGGAATCGATATATTTGGAGACGAACTCCGATCAATAATTTTTTATATTTTTTTTATTAAATAATATAATAAAATAACTAATTAATTGAAATATAATTGGTAAAAAACCGTAAAAAGAAAATTTTTTTTTTATTATTTAAGTTTAAATGATAAAATTTATTTTATATAATTATTCGCTGAGACCCGTAAACCCGACCCGGCCCGGCCCGAGTCGCCAAATATTACGATTTTAAAAATCCCGGTCGGACTTAAAAATTTTAATAACGAAGAAAAAAACCGCGAGGCTTTAAAATGATAATTTTTAGTGGCTAAAAACTTGTTTTAACCGAGATTTTTTTTTAATCGGCTATAAATTGGCCTTAAACGGCTAAAAATATAGAAAAATTAGCCAACTGCCCCTACTAACCAAAAAAAAATTGAACGGGGTTTAATAAATAGGCGGGCGGAGAATATTTTTTTAAAAATGCTATACCTTCAGTTAAAGGAATTCAAACCGAACCTCGACCTTTAAGAATTCTGTAATTCGAACCTGCACCGAACCCCTGGAAAGACCTATTTTTATACATTTATATTGTATTTCATATTTGTTTCAATGGTATGTTCGTATCAATGACATATATAATACCTAGACTGACGATTCATTCACTAAAAGTGAACATCGGTGCAAATCAGCTGGAGACGCCATCTTGGTTACATTAATCATTATTAAAATTTTAAACGAGAGCCTAATTTATTCCCATATCTGATGCAAACTTTATATAAATAATACCCTATCATCGAGATAATAAGGAAGCAAGTTATCGATTTAAATAGCAGTTTTCTAACATGAGAATAATTACTATACGTATTACCAAAATGGCGGATCCAGCTGATTTTGCTTTTATCGACGCTCAAAAAATGCATTTTAATGAACGAATCGTCAGTCTAGGTATTATATACGTCATTGGTTAAAATTACAAGCGTTTAAACGGCCCGATTTTAGCGGATTTGAAATTAACAATTTAGCCAAAATGATATCGCTTAGAACCGCGAGATTACTGCTAATAAATCTCCCAACCCTTTTCTTGGCTAGAATATTTGGCACTCTTTTTAAAAAACCGAGCCGGTTAGTAATAACTACGGGCTGGCCTTCGCTTTGACCTCTGCGGTTCATCCGATAGATAATGTTAGTTAAGTATGTGAGCAGCGATTCATTTCACCCCTTTCGAAAAATTTTCTTCTTCCTGTTCTAGAAGTTTCCCTTGGAATATTTTTAAAAAAATTCCCAAAAAAAAATACACAATATTTTGACATTCATCTCAAGATTTGTCATACACAATGTCTGTTTTTATTTAATTTTTTCGGTAAAAAAAGGGGGATGGATGTAGTTAGGGGTATCATTTTTTTATAAATATGTTTACAATATTTTGAAAAATATGGGTGGGGGTTATAGATGATTTCTAACTCTTTTTGATGATGTCAATCAATGACATACAATTAACCTAGACTGACAATGCATTCATTAAAAGTGTACTTCACTGAAAAACAGCTGGGGACGCCATTTTGATTACCATTATTAAAAAATTTTATCACTGATGCAAACTTTATTAGAGAATTGTCTGATCATCGAGATAACGAGAAAGCAAGTTATCAATTTTAATATTAGTTTTTAACACGAGAATAATTACTATATGGGTTACCAAAATGGCGGGTCCAACTGATTTGCATCCAACGACTCTCTCATATGCCTTTATTATGAATGCAACGTCAGTCTAGAATATTATTATATGTCATTGATGTCGATGCCTATCTTTGAATATGTGGCACTACTGGACATGATCAATAAGGGGAAACAGAAAAAAAAACATATGCTCTCAAAACGATTTTTATTTGATTAAAACAGATGTTTTTTCTGGGGGGGTTTGAAGACATAAACCCTAAGGAATTGGTCCAAATCCAATCCCAAATCAAATGGTTTAAAAAAAAATTTTTTAAAATAAATAATAATTTGATTTCCCCCATTCCCCCACCTCATAAATAAATCAAGCGTTCACCAAAAAATATCCTCTCAAAAAAATGTTAACATTAAACAGTGTGGTTATTTATCACGACAATGTTGTCGCAAACAAATACATATCAAATTTGACAAAGAGAAAGAAAAATCATTATATTATAGATAATAAATATATAATAATAATATACAAATAAAGATGCCCCGAGATATAATCGGAAAAAAATAATGATTGATTTATTAGCTCAAAAGGATCTGAGTTTGATCAATATTTAAATATTCCATTAAATAAATGATAATATTAAAGAGATTTCTAAAATTCTTTATTTCTACTTCTTCACTATCACTAATTATAATTACACGGAAGGAAGGAAAGAAAGAAAGAAAGAAAGAAAGAAAGAAAGAAAGAAAGAAAGAAAGAAAGAAAGAAAGAAAGAAAGAAAGAAAGAAAGAAAGAAAGAAAGAAAGAAAGAAAGAAAGAAAGAAAGAAAGAAAGAAAGAAAGAAAGAAAGAAAGAAAGAAAGAAAGAAAGAAAGAAAGAAAGAAAGAAAGAAAGAAAGAAAGAAAGAAAGAAAGAAAGAAAAAGAAATATCAATTATTCGTATCAAATAAAATTTGGCTTAAATTTTCAAGGACCGGAAAACGGATATTAAACTTTATTGTTATTTAAGGGGTTAACTCGGAGATAAATTCACTATAACTATTATAGGATTATCAACTAGACATATCTCTGCATTAGAATCATTAGAATTTGTTAAGATTACGTAGTGAACTTAGAAAAGTTATCGAACAAAATTTTTAGCTTCTTAAGCGATTTTAACAATATAGCTGTTCTAATCTATTTGTTGGATAGTTATATCTCTTTCTCATCTTATCCTAAGCACGTTGGTCTAGAACCTATATCTTAATATATTATCGCTTACGCAAAAAAAAAAATCAGATTCATCGCAGCAGATGTTATCAGCCCTGTCCGGTCATATCAATATTTGTTAAAAAAAAAATCGTTCAAAATAGGGTGACCCGCTAAATTATTATCTTTTTTTTATTTACTAATTACAAATCTGAGCCTGACTTAAAAATAACGACAATAAAAATTAAGAAGTTGGGATCGTAAAATTAAAATCAAAATATAACAATTAGCTTCAGTTTAATAATCACGTGATGGATCATATGACATTCATTTCCTTTCTCATATTTTTCTCTGAAACTTGTTTACAAACAAAAAAAATTTCTTTAAAAAAACCAGGGTCGGATTGCGATATAATAAGAGATGTAAAGAATCCATTATTGGGAACCGGTCCGGGATCGTCTCTTTTTAAAAAAACTCGTTTAATTTAAATAACCGGATATTGACCAGTCAACTTGTTTTTAAATATACAGTAAAACTTGTCCAATTTCGGCTCTCGATATATTCGGGCAAGCCCTTAATTTGACTAAATCTTAGAATCCCAAATGAAATTCGATAAGAAAGAAAGAAAGAAAGATAGTAGAAAAGAAAGAAATGAAAGAAAGAAAGATAGTAAGAAAGAAAGAAATGAAAAGAAATGGATCGGATCTAAAAAAAAATTCAACTTCTAAGGGTCTTCCCCCAAATTAAATATTCACTTTTGTTTTTATTATTTAAAACAAATAAAAGTAAATTAAATATCCACATACTCGGACGAGGAAAATAAATATTTTTTAAAAAATGTCCCACACTGAAGAACTGAAAAACTAAAAAAATATAAAATGATTAATTATCATTATATTTGTTCCGTTACGATTTTTATATTTTTTTTTTATTGATTTATTTATTTATTTTTCATTTTATTTTATAAAATAAAAATATTGTTTCGTGCCCTGTCCAGAAAACGTGATAATATTAAAATAAAAAATTAGAGAGAAAAAAATAAAATAAAAAGCGGACTAAATCATTCAACCCCAAATTTCTCTGGTCCATTCATCCCCTGATCGGTTTAAACCTTCTTTTTTTTTGGAAAAATTATTGATTCATGTACCTTATCTATAATTTTTTTGAAATATTGATTTGATTTTAAATCAATAAATCGCTTTGTTTTGCGCGTTTGTATTTTTTTCGCGCCCATAATATTAATTCAATGAGTCATATCTAACGAATGTCCGAAAATAATTTTTTCTCCATTTTTTTCAAATGAAGGATCTTATACAATCAAAATGGCGGTAGGTAAAAATAAATAAATTAAAAAGCGGTCTGAATCATTCAACCCCAAATTTCCCTGGTCCATTTATCCCCTGATCGGTTAAAAGCCATTTTTATTCTTTTATTTTTGAACAAATTATTAATCATGCTAAGGAAACCTTTTTTTCACACGCCCCCCCCCTATATTTTTATAATATCGTATGCGATAAAAATTAATTATTGATTTGATTTTTCAAATCAATAATTGGCAGGTTTTTTTTCGCGCCAATAATATCAATCAATAGGTTCTTTATAACGAATGTCTATTAGTTTTTTCTCAATTTTTATTTAAAATGAAGGATCCTAAGTATCAGAATGTAGTGTAGTTAAACGGCTAAACTAGATATTTTGTCTAGAAAAATATTACGCAAGCCTGAAGATTTTGCTGACAGGTGCCACGAAGGCCAGGACATCTATTAGCGAAGTCTCGAGGTTCGGGGCGATACTTTTCTGGCTAAAATATTCGGTTAGGCGGATTTAAAAATCGGATCATTATTCGTTAAGAATGATAATAAGGAGCATAAAAAAAAATCTCATGCAA